TTGTCCCTGATGGTTTGCATCTGTTTGTGGTTGTTTTGTGACTCTTTGTGGTCGCTTTGCGGATCTCTTGTGTCTCTTTGTGGTTGTGCTGCGTCTCTTTTCTGTACTTTTGTCTCTTTGTTTTGTAGGTCTGTTAAATTGGAGAGGAAATAAAGCTACTAGTCCGAATCAATCTGTAGAAATCTGAAACTGGAACATTTAGCTGCAGATATCTGCAAACCACAAACACATGAACAGTAACTTAAAATCCAGTTGAGCTGCTGAACATTAAAACATCTCGCTGCAGTCGGCCTGAACGTCATCGTCCGAGCCTCAGGGCAGAAAACAGAACAAGAAGCGGTCCTGTGATTTCTTCAGGATCTTATGACTTCGCCGAAGCCTGTGAGAGACTCAACAGATAAGAAACGCATCAGAAAGCTGAATTAGAAAAAAACACTCATTTGCCTCCGGGGCAGATTGTACAGAAGGACGCTGACTGTAGATTAAGAAATCTGCAGGAAGCAGCAGTTTGAGCAGCTGATGCACTTATCTGGAGCAAAAACCGGCTGTTTGCATCAAGTTTAAACATGCAGCTGCTTTTTCTTTGTCCTTACTGCTGATTGGTTTGAGCATCCAGCCGCAGCAAGTCTACAGCCACATGGACGGAGAGTCATGAACCAGCTTTGCTTTCAAAAGCTCCATAATTAACTTTTTTTTCTGTTTTCTGTTGATGCTAACATATGTTTTAGTCTGATGTGATTTAACTACACTCTGCTCCACATGCTCGCGATATTGCATCTAATCCAAAACTTTTCAGCAGCCGTGAACTTTGTCAAATATCAAAAAATGAGTTTAACTGCAAGAAATAATCATGTTTTCCAAAATGCCAAACAGCTACTTACATTTCAATCTTTCGTCTTGTGTTGTGATGCAGAAGAAACAACCAAAGAAAAGTAAATGTTTCCTGCGTCTCCAGTGTCGACGAAACCAGTGACTCTGCTGCCACCTACTGGCCACCAGCAGCTGGTGTCTCTTCCCTCCCAGCTCAGACTGGGACTGCTGAGCCCGTCAATGGGAGACGTCTGGACATGTGCTGCTCTGGCGACCTGCTGAACTCAGCCAAACTTTCCGTCCGTGCGTGACTTTGCTTCTGCTGAAATCCCTTCAGGGTCGAGACGACGAGTCGACACTCGCACGGCCGTCCATGAAGTCGTGTTTGTGTTTCCGTGGGAACCAGGAGCTCAAACAGCGCTGGGATCAGTGCAGATCTAATATCTAAAATTTCTAAAAAAAAATAAAAATAAAATAATAATAATATTTTGCAAAATTTAAAAGAAAAACTATGTATATTAAAAATTAAGGAATAATATTAAAAATATAAAAATGTTGTTATTTTTCGGATTTTTCCTTGTTTTGTTGAATTATAAGACAAAGAGGGCTGCAAGGTGGCTCGGTGGTTAGCACCGTCGCCTCACAGCTAGAAGGTCGCCAGTTCACGTCCCGGTGAGGACACCCAGGATCTTTCTGCGTGGAGTCTCCATGTTCTACCCGTGCAGCGTGGGTTCTCTCAGGGTTCTCCAGCTTCCTCCCACACAGTCCAAAAACATGTTGAGGTTAATTGGTGATTCGAAATTGTCTGTAGGTGTGAATGTGAGTGTGCTTGGTTGTCTGTCTCTAAGTGTAGCCCTGTGATAGACTGGTGACCTGTCCAGGTGAACCTGCCTTCACCCTGAGTCAGCTGGGATAGGCTCCAGCCCCCCATGACCCTAGTGAGGATTGAGCGGTGTATAGATGATGGATGGATGGATATAAGACAGACAGATTCTTGCAGGACGACTACTTTTAACACACAAAGACAGTTTGAGGTCACATCTGGACTTTTTGCTCAACAGGCAAATAAAAAAAAGGCAGAAAACAAAGAAAAATGAAATTATTTTTTGCATTAAAGAACCAGTTTCAGCTGCAGGAGCTGCTGAAGAGACGTCATGAAACTTCACGTTGACACTTTGACCGAGCTCCGACTTTAAATACGTAGTTATAGACGGCTAGCCTTTATTTAGTGCCTGCTTCTCTTTTGTGTACGTACTATGGGTTCTGTGGCATCAGCGGTGTGAATGTGAGTCCCCATGTCTGGATGAATCACTCACATGTAAACATGAGTCACCGGATTTACTCACGGTCGGAAACTCTGACAGAGAAGTGGACGGATTCTGTCCGTTCGTGAGTCAAAGTTTGTACCAAGATGAGAGAAAATCAGTCTTTTATGGAATTTATCTGTTGATGCTTTATGTTCAGAGGGACACCAGGGATGCAAAGATCCGAAAAAATATGATTAAAATCACAATATAAGTGCAGTGTTCCACATGAAGGAGATGCTTTTTTTTTTTTTTTTTTTTTTAAATAAGGCGAAATGTAATAATAAATAAAGCGCTGTGTGGCCTCCACATTTAAAGGAACCTGCTTGTTTGGTTCAAACTGCAGCAAAAAAACCAAAAACACAATAATTTAATATATTTTTCAGTGGAAAAGAAATGAAAACTCATCATTCCCACTTAGATCACAGCTGAAAGTTCAACTTTTCTTTGCACATTGTCAATCCCAAGGAGATAAATGCATCCAGAGGGGAAATTAGATTCTCTTCTCTTTGCAAATTTTACTTTTCCCTTTTGAAAATACCAACAACAAAGTGAAAGACTTGAATTTAGCATCACATCTGTGTGTCCAAACCACTCAAAGCAAACTCAGATGGACTGAAACCAGAAGGAACTGTTGTACATGACATTTTTATAACTGTACAGCTGATGCGTTGTGATTTAATTCCATGTACATCGTCAGTTTTGTCCAGATTTAAGGGAATCTGCTTGTTTTGTACTAACTGCAGCAGAAGAACACAATTGTTTTTTTTAAATATATTTTTCAGTGGAAACAGACGCATCCAGAGGAGAAGTTTGATGTCAAATAAATCCCTTTTTCTTTGCACATTTTATTTTTCCCTTTTGAAAATTTGCACAACAAAGTTAAAGACTTGAATTTAGCTTCATGTCTGTGTGTCCGAACCACTCAAAGCAAACTCAGATGGACTGAAACAAGAAGGAACAAAAATGCGTCTTTATAAAAAAAGTTGACATTTTTAGAACTGTATGTGTTGTGACTTAATACTGTTTTAAATCTCCAACTGACATTTCGAGATACTCCAGCGTCCACTTCAGTTCCTCAAAGTATATTAAAGTCAGCAGCCACAAACAATAAATAGAAGCACAGAAAACAACCAGAGCCACGTGGTTCTTAAAGCTGCAGCGCTGCCTCTTGTGTCCGGGTCCTGGCAGCCTCTGGCGTTGTTGTTCGGCCTCTCGCTTTCCGGGTTTCCCTCGAAGTGCACCGGCACGCACTGGTTCTCCAGAACCTCGCAGGCCAGGATCAGGTGTTTGGTTTCCTTTTTGACGCTGCGGATGCCGCAGGTTCCCGGCTGGCTCCTGACCGTGACGAAGGTGAAGGGCTGACGGCTGATGCACAGGTTCTCCTTGTAGACCTTCCCGCCATCGCTGGTGCACACGGCCCTGACCCGCTCCAGTTCCCCCGGCCGGAGGAAGGACTGCGTGGGCCGGCTGCAGCCGCCGTGGTTCTTGATGTACTCCCTCCACTCGTCCTCGTCGAGAGTGTTGGGGGTGCCGGAACGGATGTGGCGTTTGATGAAGGTGTTGTAGCCGTTGTTCCACTTGGAGAGCTGGCAGGGAGCGTCGTTCTTGGCCCACGTTGGCCGGTCCAGCAGGAGGAAGACGGCGAAGGAGAGGAAAACCCAGAGAGCAGCCATCGTCCTGCAGGAAAACAAGAGGTCAGAGGTCAGAAAAATGCCTTCACATCTCACTTTTACTGTTTTCTGTCTGCAGTGTTGTCGATTTCCGCTGTGAGGGTTGTACCGTAACCTAAAAACATGACTAGAACTTTGCAGAACTTTCTCAGAACATCATATACTCCATTTGTTTTTAAAAACTCCATTTAAAAGTCAGAGTTTGTAGCCTCCACATGTGCACTGAAAAAGGAGGATTTGGCTGCAAAAAGTAATTTGGATGCATTTCGACTACGGGAAGGATGAAAAACATTTGATGTTTCAGCACGAGACAAGAAAACCCTGAGAGCAGCCGTCGTCCTAAAGGAAAACAAGGATTTAAAAGTCAAAAAAACTTCTTTTTCCCATTTTCTCTCTCTGGATTTGTTCATTTTCACAGTGAGGCTTCAGTAAAGTTTCTTATTTTGCAAAAAAAAAAAAAGTAGTAAACAGTGCAAACAGGAAGAAACTGACAGAAGCACAGCTGCAGATTTCAGACCTACAATCTGAACGTCCACATGAGTATATTTTTGGTTAATTTGACATCCTGAATTGTGACCTAAAAACACGACGAGAACTTTGCAAAACTTTCTCAGTTTCTTTTTCCTTCCTTAACTCCGTTTAAAAGACAGTTCGTCGACCTGTAGCCGCCACATGTGCACTAAAAAAAGAAGGATTTGGCTGCAAAAAAAGAAAAGTTTTGCCCAAAAAGTGACTCAAAATGAAGCAAACATGGTGCACAAAGAGATGTGGAAGAACTGAGGTATGTTTTTTTTGTCGTTTTTTTATTTTTCTACTGACATTTTGTAACCTAAAAACACAACTAGAACTTTGCAGAACTTTCTCAAAACATCATACACTCCATTTGTTTTTAAAAACTCCATTTAAAAGACAGAGTTTGCCGACCTGCAGCCCTCACATGTGCACTGAAAAAGGAAGATTTGGCTGCGAAAAGAAATCACGTCGACCAAAAACATTTGATGTTCCAGCAGGAAAAAGATGGAAACCCTGAGAGCAGCCATCGTCCTGCAGGAAAACAAGAGTTAAACAGTCACAAAAACTCCTTCATGTCTCAGTTTTTCTCCATTTTGCCAAAAAAGTGACTAATTTTGTCCTCAGTTTTTTAAAAGACAGAGTCTGTCAACCTGTAGCCTCCATGTGTGCACTGACACAGGAAGACCTGGCTGCAAACAGAAACTGTGTTAAGGATTAAAACGCTGAGAGCAGCCGTCGCCCTGAAGGAAAACCAGAATCCTAAAGTTTCAAAGACTTTCTTCACAGCTCACTTTTTCCAGTTTTGTGGGATCTCCCCGGTGAAGGCTCAGCGAAGCTTCTCGTCCAGGCTCATGTCAAAGTAAACAGACAAACACAAAGCAGGAAACGTGACAGAAGCACAGCTGCAGATGTGAAACCTGGTTGCAGAGAGCAGCTGAGGAAACTTCCCTACCTGGTTTAGATGCTCTAAAGTGGCCAAAAAGCTCCAGACGCCAGATCGTTTGTCTGCTGCCCTTCAGCTGCGGTTCCACATTTCACTTCCTGAAAGCCGGAGCAGGAGGAGCTTAAAGGCTGCATTAA